CCTTCCCAAAACCTCCAAACACCATAGATTTTCATTGCGTTTTCATTGCATTCTATATTCGTTTCGTTCGGCCATCGACAACTCCAATCCAAGAAAGAGGAGTTCAAGAAGAGAGGGGAGGGAAGGATGGGTAGGACGGGTGAGGGTCATAGTCATGGTTGTTTACCCCCCTGTCCCTGGACTGTCTGGAAGACCGCCGCGGTCTGACGAGAATGGGTGTGTGACTCGGAGAGGTGCCATTGTGAGTAGAAAAGGCTAGATGCCTTTTGGCATGTCCAGTGAGGCAGGTGTACATGGAGTCTACGTAGAGGGGCGAGCTTCAAGGATCTGAGCCCCAAGACGCGAAGAGATAAGCTTTGGGAGCTTCGTGGCTGCTTGTGTTCATCAGACCTGAGTAGTGACATCGATACGATTGCGGGGCCTCTCAATCTGGAGGCATTTCTACCAAGACCGCGAGCCATTTCGCTCCAACCTAATAGCGCTGGCCTGCAACCTAATAGCAACGGCCTCCAACCTAATAGCGATGGCCTCCAACCTACTAGCCATGGCCTCCAACTCAAGAGCGGTGGCCTCCAACCTAAGAACGATGGCCTCCAACCCAATAGCGATGGCCTCCAACCTAAGAACGATGGCCTCCAACCCAATAGCGATGGCCTCCAACCTAAGAGCGATGGCCTCCAACCTAAGAGCGATGGCGGCCTCCAACCTAAGAGCGATGGCCTCCAACCTAAGAGCGATGGCCTCCAACCTAATAGCGATGGATGGCCTCCAACCATGGCCTCCAACCTAACAGCGATGGCCTCCAACCTAATAGCAAGCCATTTGGGTGAGGTTTATCGGGCCCAGTTCTATGTTTCAGCGAGATCGGCCTCGGCCTAGGCCATGCGCTTCTTCCACGCGCTGGCGGCTGGGTGCGTGCCGGTCATTGCGCGGGGTCTATGTTCCACAGGTTTGCATAGGTGAGGTGGGTGTAATAAGAGCAAAACGCTCAATAACATTAGAATGAAAGACACTTGATTGATTTTTATTATGGAATACATTGCCATTCGTTTTTTGATCTTCGCTTTGTCTTTAGTTAACGTCAATTGAAAAGAGCAACTACAAAAGAACATTAAGCTGAAATGGGTAGTGAAGATTCATGTCAGGGACTTTTAGTTCCATACTGGTTTTGATCCATTTTGTCTTGGAAAGTGTGGGGCTTCTAGTGTGGAACTTCTATGCACCTCGTTGGATCATTCTTTGACCTATTTTGGAGGAATCAAACTCAACAGGCAGGGATTTGCAGTGTGTTCCCCTCCGCCGACTGAGTGGATACATGATCAGTTCGCCGACTTTCCTGAGGTCGGTGGCCCCACCAACACGGTGCCACTGCCTTTTGGTGAGGTGGTCGGGTGGGGACGCTGGGTGGGAGTTGACCTGCGAAGTGGCTTCTGTTCAACTTGTTGCAGATGCTTGACTCCAGCAGTTGAGGTTATGTGAGGGGCTAAGCCGGGTGTTCGCAAGTCACTGAGCTGATGTGAGCGCCATAGCGCGCCAGTTTGTGAACTACTCCCGTTTCGCCCGCTTTGCGCGGGTGCGAAATGCCTGGACCTCGGTGCCAGCTGCCACATATAGACTCTCAGTGAAACCGAGGTCACAACGTGAAACCGTGAAACCAATCAAAATTGGCCAAGAAAAACATCAGCCGTTCAGAACGCACCGGAAGCGAAAGGAAGCGCTGGTAGCGTCCTTGCTCCTAGTAGCGATGCCCTTTGTTCCTAATAGCACGAATGCTCCTAGTAGCGATGGCCTCCAACCTACTTGCGATGGTCTCCACCGAGCATAGCGTCCTTGTTCCTAGTAGTGTCCTCTTGCTCCTAGTAGTAAGGCCATGAGCGCCCCTTCCATTCGGAATGCCCTTCGGCTCAAGTCTCACTGCCCGGTGGGGGCCCAGGTGCCGACAACGGGATCTCTCCATGGCTCCCGTTGATGGGATCCACTTGAACACGTTACTTGGGACACTCCGAGCCACTCCATGAGGACTAGGACCTAGAGGACCGTAGGATCAACACTCCCAAAAGAGGCTCCATTCTTGGATTCTTTATGATTCTTTTGATTTTAAATTATCTTCCCCGGTGGATTTTCCATCTGAGAATCTTGGACTCTCCACGGCTGAGCCTTTGTGAAGCGTGGCCACCATGAGCTTCCTCTCCGCCCCGACGCTGCGCAGTGAAGCCTATTTCAGCCCGGGCGCCAGCGAGAAACTTCAGAGGCTCCAGCAATCTCAGCAGCTGGCGCCCGTGGCACTCAGCAGGAGAAGGGGGTTCTCAGGGCTGAGAAGAGCTCCCTCCCTTCGTTTCAGAACAACTGGGTCAGAATGGGGCGACCTTGCAGAGTTCAGAATGGACCCCCCGGCACCGCATTCCATTCCAAAACAAGGGTCTCTCTGAAAACTTCGAGCCCCCCCACACCCGAAAGCAAAAAAGCTCAGGGGGGCACCTTCCATGGCTGAGAGCGATGGCCTCCAACCTAAGAGCGATGGCCTCCAACCTACTAGTACTAGTGATGGTTGTTCTGAAGTGAAGCTGCAGGATTTGCAACTTCAGCCTGGGCTCACTGGTTCTGACAGCCAAGCCCTCACAGAAGCTGCCCATTGAGCGGGAGGAGCAGCTCGGCCTATGAGTGTCTTTGGTGTCCCAGCTGCTTCGTTTCAGTGAAGCCCGACATGTTTGGAGATGAAGCGCCTGGGCGTGCGAAGAAAGAACCACATCCAAACGGACGTAGGTCAACCGAAAACGACCGTTGCGACGAGGATTCGCCTGAAGACCGCGCTCTTGGGGATCGATTGGGTGAACGCTCCCGTGGACGCGAAAGCCGTGCTGTTGGTCTTCCCAGGCATCGGTACCAACTCCAGGAGCCCAGCTGTTGGCTGTTGGGATCCGGTGAATAAAGAGCCTTGCGTTCGTTTTGAAGCCTTAAGGCAACGATTGGACCAAAAGGTATATGATTCGCCCGGTGTTTTCGCTATATGACTTATATGACCTTTGACAAGACCAGGAGCGGCTTTGCTGGGATGTCGGCGCACCACTTGTCAACCAGCTTCCCGAGCCTCCGTGTGGGTGTTCCTTGGAGAAGTTTCAAGACAGACTACAGCCTTGTGTGGAACACGCAGTTGATCTTGTTGCGGTGGATCTTGGCGATGCCATGTCAACGGATCTTCAACATGCCCACAGGGCATTGAGGCAGGTCAGGCCCTGACGCCGATTGAACCCCCCTTGAGAGGTCACCGACACTGTCTTTGCTTGTTTTTGGAGTTGAAGCCTGAGGTTGCAGTGCTTCAAGGACACGACGGTCTTCCTTTGCAGTCGACGTGTTTTCCTGCGACTGCCTATGTGTCCATGGGCGACACTGGACGCATCATCGAACATACGAGTGCGCAATTTCCAGGCCCGGAACTTCAGTCCTGTGGCCGAAGCGTTTCTCGGCTCGTCCCCCGCTCAGACGGCTCCGCACCTCCAACCCTGGCGGACGACCGGATGCGGCAGGTCTTCCCTTGGTCGTCATGGCGTGCTCCATTGGGGCGGCGCACTTCACTCACTGGGCTGGACAGGGATCCGGGGTGGAACAACCGTTGGTCGGCGACTCGTAGAGCAGGGGAATCAGGGGATACGCCAAGACATCTTGTGGCGAAGTAGATGCGAAGTAGGATGCCACATCATACCACCATTCCGAATCATTGGGAGAGATGATAGTACAGGAGGGGAAAGCACCCACACTCAGGCATTGCCAGTGAAATCAACATTCAGCGTAATCACCCAAATGCCTAAGACAAAACATGAGAATGAATGACATTAGATGCCTGGCACGCTGCGCGAGGAACGCATCCGGAGAAAGCCAAGCAGTGTCGTGTGGTTGGAGCCGTTGGGAACTCAGCCCTACCACACTCTGTGGTGGACAAATGTCGCGACTGTCCCAGGCGCACGTTTTCCAAACATAGATCCTGGCCTGGAAAAAGCCCGCGATGAGGAGGAAACAAGTTGAAATGTACTCTTCATGGCTTTTATTCCCGTCTTCTTAAATAGGCATTGAAGAATTCCAGAATCCTAACGTGAGTGATTCAAGGAGAGTCCGCTGGTGAAGATAAGACACTTGAATCTGCCTTCAAATGCATTCATCACTCATCACTCACAGCATTGCTACCTTGCCGGTGTTTGCATTTGCAACTCTTAGATGGATCATCTACCAGAAGATATCTCGAAGACATTCTTCACCTGCATGCTCCCAGTCTAGCCACTCCAATTTCATCTAAAAGAAATAACTATAACACTTCTTCTAGCTACCAGTCTAGCCACTCTTCTATTCTTTGCTTCTGCGGTTGCCAAGTCTCTACACTTCCCCAGGTGTTGGTGTGTCACGGCTATGCCTCGCGTCCCGCGGCCCATGCGGTGGACTCCTCCGGCGCGGCGCCCTTCATTCTGGGTGCCTACAGGGATATACTCAGGCGCCGACGCGGGGCACGCCGCGGTGCGCCGACGCGGGGCAACTGCTGGGGCTTGGCTCAGAAGCTGAAGCTGGTTCGTTTGATAACAGGATGGTGCATGTGTTTCCCCCCCGAAGGTCGCCTGAAATTCTTATTCTTTCGCTTCTTTCCAGCTTTGAGGAATTCCAGCTTACCTGCATGGCAGACACCAGAAGAATCCCTGACGCCGTCGTCGGCGGATGGATTTTGGGGTGCAGGAGGAACGTCCCGAATCTCGAGATTTTTGCGGATGACTTCCCGGACTTTGAGCCCTCCAAGCTCTGGGCTGCCCAGACCCTCCGCAGCTCGGCGTCTGGTTTTTGGTGATTTTCTTGAAGTTCATGTGCGATGGGTCTGGATGGACCTGGATGGATTTTTACATCCGTACTTGGCCGGCCTGCAAGTGAATATGGTCCCAAAAGTTCACTTGAAGCCCAAGCATAAGCACCTGGTGCTGGGACAACCTCAGCAATGCGTCCAGCAACCGAGGTGAATGGGATGAGGCTCTGCTGCCGGTGTATGGCATCCAGCGCTATGAGGCAAGGGTTGGGCCAACGCCTTGCCCCGATGCATCACACTGTGACCCCCAACCACCGCAGGATGTCCTTGATGCGGTGGATACCACCCCAGAGATGCTCCAAGCTCTGCCGATGCCCGTGGTGTTCGTTGGAGCGGCCAACGATGCTCGTCGGCCGGGTTTCGCCCTACTTGAGCGGCGGGGAAAACGGATAAAGAGACACGTTTTTGGTTGAACTTCTTGTTGAGATGCTGAGAGCGTGAAGAGGACAAGGTGTTCAACTCGACAGATGTGCGCGATCACAAGCAGAACCTGAAGAACATTTACCGCCTTTACCTGGCCAGATGTTGCAGTGATTGGAGCCTGAGGACCCCATCACTCCCTCGACGCGGCTGCTGGAAGGGCAGGTGCACCAGTCGGGTGGCCTCAGCAGTCGACGTTGGTTTTTTTTGGGGCGTGGTGTTTCGAGGAGGGCTTTGTTAGCATGTTAGGAAGCTTTGGAATACTGTAGAATGGTAGGCCGTCCAGGTTTAGGGTATGCATGGGCAGGGAGGTTTCATGCAATTTCTTAGATTTAAGGAATCCCCGAACTCCAAGTTCTGCTTTCCATCTCCAAAAAGCTGAGTTTGAAGATGTCATCCAACTGAAGCTCCACGTGAGCTCACACTCCTGGCCAAGCTGCACAACTTGGAACGCTCAACAAATGCCAAGACCGAGGCTGGTGCCCGATTCCGCATTGATTCACTTGAGTCACGGGAGCCACATGGCCTGGTGGCAGGGGCCTTTCTGGCAGATGTCGCAAGAATGGGCCTGCGAGACTTGGCGAGGCATTGGCCGGGTGGTGTCACGGTCTCCGGAAGATGGCCTGAGAATGGGTCAAACAGGGTCAAACAAATGTTGAACCGTCTTCTCTGACGAGTCACTTCACCAAGGACCTCATGACGGAGCTGGTCTCCATCCTCGCCGATATGCCAAAGAGGCCAACGTTGTTCGGCAGCGGTGTTGCAAAGAAGGATTACCTGCCAGGATTAAGCGATCTATGTTGGAAAGGGTTTAGCCAAAGCCCAAAAGCTGTTTAAGAGCTCTCTAATCGTTAGTTGTTTTTCTCTCTGTAGCCTTGGACGTTCAAACGTTCAAACACCGTTTGGCAATTTGAACTTTTGAGCCACAAACTTGCAGTTCTTTTTTCTTCAGCCTGAGCCTATCCCCAAAGGGTTCATTAGACCCGGAAAAAATATGAGTCGCTCTCGCAGCCTATGGCTTCGGTCCCGGTCCTGGTGGATGTTTCCGGGCCGATTCGTCCAGGCCGGCAGAGCAAGGGCCAAAGAAGTCGATGTTCTGCGTGGCATGCGAGGCGCGGATCATGGGAGGGGCTCACCTGAGGATGCCTGACCAAGAAGAACACTGCTGCTCCTACACACACACACACGTGCACATACACAGAGACACTTTTTTAAGTTTCTTACACCATATAACATATTCTCATATTTCATATTTCTTTTTGGATTAGCTCCTTTGCTTTGCGATGAGCAGTTCGTTTGGCATGTTTGGTGGTCTCCGCTTCACCACCGTGGCCTACTTGAGGCAGTCGGGAGGATGTTTGGACAGTCGCATGAGGGCAGCAAGTGAGATGGCTCCGCGGAGCTGGGAGCCGGAAAGCACATGAAAAGCACGGAGCATCCTGAGGAGATCTGGGATATTCAAGGCGGCTGATTCTTCTCGAGCCAAGACTTCTCTTGAAATCAAGTAAATCTTGGAATGTTTTGACATCTCCAACCGATCCCATGCCAAGATCTCCCCACCTTTTATCTGCCTGTGATCTGTTGCCTAAGATGTCGTGATGCCTAAGACAGGCCACGGCTATATGTGGGTTGCTTGAGCTGGCCATACATGCAGGAAAGAGCACGGTGAACTGCGAGTTAATTTGAGAACGCACTCATTTCTGGAAGAGCGGCAAGTTCTGGTTCAATGGCACATGTTCCAAGTCGTTAAGGATGATGAGGATTGTGCCTTGTGCCCCCCTTTGGTTGAAGATGTGTCGCTTTTGGGATGGTTTTGTTCCTGCTCTCAGCAGGAGGTGGCCAGGAGAAAGTCAAACCCAACACGTCTATATGCTTCATGATGGGCCCTGATGCTTGGCGTCGCTGGATTAGCCAACCCGTTGAATTAGGAATTTCTAGAGACCAACCGTCACAAGTGGAGACTTAAGACCAAGTGCCAAAAACCACGATGTTGTAGACCTAGAGCTTGATTGCGTTTTCCTCATGGGGGTCTGCTTCCAGGTGGCCGATCTCTTTTTGAATGTATGCTGAAACAATTCTGCACCCTCAATACACTTAACAAAAAGGAAGCGACACCTTCTCACCGGGCCCACCATTTCGAAGTTCCCGCTGCAGCGCCCGAAGTGCCGCTGGTTTGGCGCTTTTTTGGGAACCCCGCGTGGAACACGTCGGGCGAAGACCTCGGTGACACCGCGGAGACGCCATGAGTTGAAAAGAGCAGAAGCCGAGTGGTGTGGAGTGGGTGCAGCCGAGTGGGAGGTGGGTCCCAAGGTCAGCAGTGGAGGATGGTGGAAGGATGGGCGTAGATGGAGAGCCTTGATGAGCCACGTGGAGAACGTTCGGCCTCAAATCTCGTGAAGTCCTCCTCGGTGACTTGGTGTCGTGAGGTCTCGGATGCCCAGGAGCTCTTGTTGGAGCTCTTGAAGGCGGGAGGATCTGGAGTTCAACCAAAATGGTTGGTGGACTTGAAAGGGCAAAGGATCCAGGTGCTCTGTCTATAGCTTGAGTACGAAAGGTGTATGTACAAGGGGCCTTTTGGCAAAAGGGTTTTGTAGAAGAGTGGCGGTTTGTAGTGGAGTGTGTGCAATGCAGGGTTCCTGATTCTTGAAGGGATTGATGATAGGCGATTGGGTGTTCTTTTCTTGCTTTTCAGGTGTCATTTGTCTGTTTATTTCAACATTGGGAACTGTTACACGACATCGGCTGACGAAGTGCAATGAAGAATCAGCAATGGACATCAAGGCCAGCCTGGTTTTGTAAAGTTCAGCTTGACAGGGAGAGACCGAACAGTGCGGTTACAGTCCGTTGATGGGCAATTTTATGCAGAGAAACTGACTGAGAAAGCTCACTCCTGGAGCCTCGTTAGTGCCGATGCACAAGGGACATGCATTTGCAATATTGAAATGCCGGGCTTTATTCTATATGCCATGCATATGCTTTATACCTCCTTATTGCCGTTACTTTGCCTTATTCATGGCTTTGAGTCGGCCGTATAGCTCCAATGATGTCGGGTGTGGCGGGAGTCAGGCCAAGACCATCGATCGGACGGAAGCCGACCAAGAAGAGCTGCGACCGGGCCGCGCTTGGAGAAGCGGTTTCGGGTCGCAATGGACGTGGCATCTCTTTAAACGGTCTTCTGCGCTGCACCTGTTTGCTGTTCATTTTGGAACCCTACAGGTGCAGCGCCTCCGGGCACGTAGGTTAGTGATGTTGGCTTGAGACTTGGGTACGCGGGCTTCTCGTAGTCCCGGTTTGTGTGTTCACTGGTCGAAATTTTCGCCTCTGGAGTGATCAAATGTTGGAATTGAGCCCTTCCCAGATCTTGCAAAGCAAGCTAGAATCTAGAAGATGACCGCCCTTATGTGATTGGCGTTGTGGAGTGCCTTGGCCGAGGCTAGCTGAGATCGGTGGGCTCTTCATGAAGTCACTTGGCCAAAATTCACGGTGCTTTGTTTTCACAGCTGACAGCACTGTTCATTCCAGCAGCTTGACCCTCCACAAAAGAAAACCAACACAAGTGTCACAAGTGACTGTGAGGCACGAGGGTTGCCACTGGGCCTCGGGGCAGCCTTTCTTGGACCTGTTGGCCAAGTCCTTTGAGGCCAGATTCGTGCTGTTCTTTCTTCCTTCGACATCTTTTTTCTTCAAGAAACTCCATTGATGAAGACCTTCTATGTGGTGTGCGTGACCATGCCAACTGCGGAGGCAAGGGCGAAGATCTGGCAGCACATGCGCTGGTACAACTGAAGAGTGTTCCCATGTGATGTGGAGGGTTTCGGCCAGCATGGCGCTGGTTAAACGGCACAAGCTGAGGGCCAAGGATCCCGGTAGACGGCGTGTGGCTCCAGGCCGAGACGAAGCAGTCTCTCAACCGGCCGACGCCGACGTGTGTGATCCGTGCGATGGAGAAAAAAGGACATGTTCAACATCAGAGCTGCGGGGTGCAGGTGAAGGGTGAATGCATTCAGGCTATACACGAGTATCATATGAGTAGATAGCGACTGTTCCAGACAGATGGCTCATGATAACGAAACGCATGCAGATTTGGTGATGTTGGGCCAGTTTGTCTGAAGGAAAGCTGACACTGCTTCAAACCGAATGCTACCCAACGCAATCTCCTCGAAACAGCTACTGCATATAAATGTGTCTGATCCGGTCCGGACCTGCAGACCAGTCCTTAAACCTTCTAAACTCCTGGAAATAGAGGTAAGGGAACAAAAACGATCCCGGCTTGATCCTGCAAGCGACCTCTATGCAAAACGATCCTTGATATGCCATTTGCATCAATGCTGGTGTTTTTGCTTGTGATGATGCGAGCAGCCAGGCCCAGGTGAAAGAAACACAGATGCTTCAATCCTCGTTGGACACTTTTGCGCCACAACAAACTGTCCGACACTTTGTGGATTCTACCGAGGGTTGCGGCGGTACTAGCGGCCGTTTTCCTCACCCCGGATGGGCCGTGCGGCAGAAGCAGCTTCAGGCCCCCACTGGAAGGGAGCATCTGAGAGCCTTGGAGTTGTGCTAAACGTTGTTCGATTGATCTTGAAGGTTCAGTTTTTGTGCAGGTGCTTGAGCATCTTTGCTGGCTGGCAGTTTCTCAGGTGAAGTGACGCATGAGACCTGCATGGAATAAATTCGACGGGCCATCGGCTTGCTGTAGATGGCGGGGTGATTCTCAGTTCAAGCATGTTCAAACAATTTTAAACATTAACGCGCATTTTGCATGTGTCCAGTCTGGCCACTGCTGTGAATCGTCCTAAACTAGACCACCTGCTTCCACTTCAAAAAGTGTGAGGGTAATCTTGCATCCTTTGCCTGCGCCATGGGGACCTCCTTGGCCACACAGCTCATTTGCGGCAGCTCTTGCGCTGTAGGGCTGTACAAACTCAACGAGGCCATCCAGAGAAATACATGCGCTGATACGATCAACAATCGTGGCAATTCCAGATACAAAGAGGCAGTTGCATTCAACGACAGTGGCTTCTCCAAAGACTGTCCTGGCAAATATGAGGAGGCCATTGAGGACTACAACAGGGCCATTGAGCTGGACCCAAACTATGCTGTTGCATTCTGCAACCGTGGCATCGCCAAAGGCAAGTTGGGCAGGTACGAGGAGGCCATTGAGGACTGCAACAGGGCCATTGAGCTGGATCCAAACTTTGCCTCTGCATTCTGCAACCGTGGCAACTCCAAAAACAATCTTGGCAGGTATGAAGAGGCCATTGAGGACTACAACAGGGCCATTGAGCTGGACCCAAAC